TTTATGTCTGTTGTATCACTTTGTAAATTATGGTTTTCCTAAAGTTTTTTAAGATATATGTATCGTCTGTTTATGTCTGTTGTATCACTTTGTAAATTATGGTTTTCCTAAAGTTTTTTAAGATATATGTATCGTCTGTTCATGTCTGTTGTATCACTCTGTAAATTATGGTTTTCCTCTAGTTTTTTAAGATATATGTATCGTCTGTTTATGTCTGTTGTATCACTTTGTAAATTATGGTTTTCCTCTAGTTTTTTAAGATATATGTATCGTCTGTTTATGTCTGTTGTATCACTTTGTAAATTATGGTTTTCCTCTATTTTTTTAACATATATCTATCGTCTGTTCATTTGTACTGTGAAATTTTTGTATATCTCACCTGAATAATTTGTAGTTTGGTATTCTGGTCTTAAAGGATTATATTAGAGTCATTTTTATTTTGAAGATTTTTTATTTTGTTTAGTTACGTGTTATTCTTTTTGCCAGGGTGGAAATTCGGTTATTTTCTGGTCTTATAACACTAAAACCTGGAGTTTGGTTTCCCGCAGTGTGTTATTCCTGTAGCAGTCAGTGTTCAGTCCAATCACTGGCTGTAATTTTCATAAGATTTTCTCTGGTCGTGTTGATGTTAGAGTAGACTGATGACAGACCTAAGATAAGGAGGAGGGGGGAATTGTAGTATCTCACTCTCCCTTACGACATAAATTTTAATTTGAAATACATGTGGTTTTTCTCCCTGAACTCATCTATTACTGTATCCCACCTTACCCTGTGACCGTCACATAGAGCATTCCTGTACCAGTTTCATTTTATTTATCGCTGTCTCTTTTCACCACAACAAATCACTACCGTATTCCGTGTACCAGATTAATCTTGAGACAGAGCTACTTCATGTAACTTATAATGGTCTTCAGAAGAACAGTGAAGTATTGTAAACCGTTTGACGTTTGGGTCTCGTTTAAAAACCATTAGAACTTTTGTGTGTGATCCTCTGTGCTGCCTTCTTAATCAGAATCATGTAATTTATCATAATTCAACAGGATATTTGCAGCTGTCCTGATAGTATAAGATAATAATTCATTATTACTGGTATTACCTAATAGAACTGGATATATAATTACTGTCCTTAGCACGTGATTTACAAATCTGTTCAAGTTATCATAAATCCAGTTTCTTCCTGAACAGCGCCACCTTTCTGGAAACAACAACCAGAGAACACGGTCCAGGCCATCTTAGCTACACCAACGTTGATTGGTTGTTCTGTCGGGGGATATCCTACACCTAGAGTCACCTGGAAAATAAAAAGTTAGTTATTACAAAATGCCGTTATTTTTATTGAAATTTTCATTTTACATTTCTGTCACACTGTTTTTTTGTTGTTGTTGTTGTTATTTTCCGCGCTGTATCGTAGAGCCACCAGGGGGACAAAAATACAAAATTATTTCCATGCTTATATGTAAATAATAACTAAATATTGTTTCAACTACTGCGAATTTGTTAACTACAACTATTTCAGTTGAGTGTTTTAAAATATTTGTAGCTATTTATAAAATTTATTTTTACTTTTGTGTGAAAAACCTATTCTGTTTCTTTGAGGGATTAACAAAATGACTTACAAAACAACGAGTGGTAACACAATTTTAAAATAACAGTTCACAAAATGTTATCTAGATGGCGGTACAGAATAGCTTACAATAACTACCAATATTCTTCAGATCCTTCAGGCTCCTTCATTCCAATCTCCAGCAGCTTCAAGATGAAAGTGTTGGACAACGGAACACTGGTGATTAACGACGTTAAGGAGACAGATTCAGGAACGTACCTGTGTCAGGCTGATAACGGAGTGGGAAGTATCAAGTAACTATACCAACATAGGCTTAACAGTTAGTTAAATAAAGTTGTTACTAGTATCAAGTAACGATACTAACATAGGTTTAACAGTTAGTTAAATAAAGTTGTTACAAGTATCAAGTAACTATACCAACATAGGCTTAATAGTTAGTTAAGTAAAGTTGTTACTAGTATCAAGTAACGATACCAACATAGGCTTAATAGTTAGTTAAATAAAGTTGTTACTAGTATTAAGTAACTATACCAACATAGGCTTAATAGTTAGTTAAATAAAGTTGTTACTAGTATCAAGTAACGATACCAACATAGGTTTAACAGTTAGTTAAATAAAGTTGTTACAAGTATCAAGTAACGATACCAACATAAGCTTAACAGTTAGTTTAACAATGTATTTTTTATCAGACTTAATAATCTTTGAATACTTGGAGAGTTACTAAACCAACACCCGAATAAAAAGTACTACCGTGGACAGACAGACGGACAGCTTTCTCCAACGTTTCCGTATCAAGTAACGATACCAACATAGGCTTAACAGTTAGTTAAATAAAGTTGTTACTAAATAAAGTTGTTACTAAACTAACTGTTAAGCCTATCGTTACTTGATACTAGTAACAACTTTATTTAACTAACTGTTAAGCCTATGTTGGTATCGTTACTTGATACTAGTAACAACTTTATTTAAAATATGAGAAATAATCTTAAAGTATGAAATATCTGATATAAAAATAACTCTAGATCTTTATATCGTCTGGAACATTTTGTCATGAATGTTTTGGTAACAGAATATCATTCATTAAAAACGATATCAAGATTATCTGTTGTAGGAAAGAATGCTTAACTTACTAAACTGTGTTTTTAATTTATTTATAATTTTATTTAAAAATACGAATGTTTTATATTTAAGTTGTAATTGCATGAAGTGTTATGTTTGTTTTCGACAGTTCCTCCATCTATTGAGAAATATAGCGAAATTGTTACTGTGCAGCGTGGATACACAAAGAGTGTACGATGTGTTGTAACAGGAGAGCGACCTCTATTGGTTAAATGGCTAAAAAACAATCATGTGTTGGAACCCTGGTCGAACCGGTAAGATTATTTAACTTTTCTTGTTTGACGTAAATATCAAAATAATTTAATAATATGTCGGTTCTAATCTGATACGAAGTTTTATTTTTAAACTTGAGTTTTCTGCATCACTACAGCCACGAAACTTACAGTAAAGAAACTACAGTTGGGACTAACTCTACTCTCGTCATCAGAAGTATTCAAACTCAAGATGCTGCCCTCTATACGTGTTCTGTAGAAAACTCATTCGGAAATGACAGCTGGAATATCAAGATGATTGTTAATGGTAAGCCTTATTTTATGTAGTGTTTGTACGTCTGTTACTTAGGTATCAAAATATAAAACATTTAAAACAAATAAGTGAATAACCCTAATTTATTAATGTAAATATTATGGTTGTGTTTTTAAACAATAACTTAGTGATATATATATGTAACATATTCATACGACGTTTATACATATATAAACCTTGTTGATATGTTTGTAACCCTTATATGTAGGTATTAGCACGTAATTGGTATGTATGTAACCCTTAGTGATATGTATATAAAACATTATTGGTATGTATGTAACCTTTACTAATACAGTGTGATCCAACATTATCATTCCGATTTAAAAATCTAATAATTAAATAACAAAGAATACAACCATGAAGTTTTCAACATCTTGTAGCCAAACTCAAACAGTTTTATTGCAATGTATTTTTTCACTCCACTGAGTCGTGTTACCCCGTAAAATGACAACAATGCAAGAAAAGGCCTAATCCAGTGGATTGGTCATGGTGAGCTAATTCCGTGGACTCTGCGTTTGCCAGACATCACTCAACTAGACTTTCTTTGGAGGTATGTTAAGGATATCGTGTATCACACACTATATTAAACATCACGGAGCTAAGGACCATCGCCACTGTAACTGTGGGCGTGTTGCAGCGAAAGTTGACTGAAATCGAACATCAGTTAGACATGCTGAGAGCCACTAATGGTGGACACTGACATGTCAATAAAATTTGTTTGAGTTGAACTACAAAACGTTGAAAATTGTATGGTTGTATTTCTTTAGTTATTTAATTATTAAGTTTAGTAATTGGAAAGACAACTTTCTACCACCCTGTATATTTGTGGTTAAGGTCTCTGCAGTTAATGTATACCACTACCACTATATCTTTAACATGTTAATTGTTCATAAAAAATATAATAATAATGGTAGCAGAAAACAGCTAAATAAACATTCATTACTGTCATTAAAAAACAAATTAAAAAACAGAACCACCCCAGAGTCCATCGAATATTTTTGTTGGAGACGTTCGTAGCCGAGTTGCTAAGGTCAGTTGGAGGTCATCACCGACACGGTCAGCGGTCACACAGTTCATTGTTCGCTTCTGGGAATCATCAAGTAAGTTTTGTTATATCTAAACACAGGATTAATAACAATCACAATAATAAATACCGTGAAGTAATCGTTTGTTAAGAAACAAGCGGTAAAGTTGTATGTTGTATCGTAAACATTGTTTATATAAAGTTATATCTAAACACAGGATTTATAACAATTACAATAATAAATACCGTGAAGTAATCGTTTGTTAAG